AAGCATCTTTCATTTGTTTGATGCTACATATGTACTTTAGAACAAAATGACCCTTAATAAAATTCTACCCAACCATTCAACCTTCAGTTCAAAACTGAATCCATTTTAACATTCAGAAATCAGAAAGACAAGATTTATCTACTTCCATACCAGAATTAAGATTAATGGATTAAGAACATACCCATTATATCAAGATAATCCTCAGCTAAAACAATAGGGCCTCTGTCTATAGGTTTTCCTGATCCATTAAATACTCGTCCTGCAAGACACAGCAATAAAATCAAAGTGTTAGTTGCTGTGAAATTCATGTGATACATCTGCTCAGTTTGCAGAGTAAGATGCGAGCACTTACCAAGCATATCCTCAGAGACTGGAGTTCGAAGAATATCCCCAGTAAACTCACATGATGTTTTCTTAGCATCAATACCTGAAGTTCCCTCAAATACCTGTAATATACCAGAAGAAATAACAAAGAAAATGGAATAAGTATTGTCCTTTACCAAATACAGAAATGCAGCAGAACAGTGTCTCACATCTTGAGCAGGAAGGAAAAAACAGGACAGTCCTCTGCAAGCAGGACTTTGAAATGCATTAAAAAACAACTCCCTACTACAAAACATAAAAACCTAATTTAGACATAACCCTAAGTGCATCAGCACCAAGCAACAAGATCTGGCGTGATATCTTTGCTTGTAAGTCTCTGCTTTTGCCAGCAGGGTAAAGGTCTTCAGATAAGAAAAGCTAACATTGTCAAGACACAGCTGCTTAGAAGGAAGCATATATAACATCTCCTGTTTTATTCTTACCTGAACTACAGCTTTGGAGCCACTGACTTCTAGAACCTGCCCGCTTCTCCTTGTACCATCAGGAAGAGTCAGGTGGACAATCTCTGCATACCTAGGAAACTGAGAATGAACATGAAAGAAAGCAGAAAACATTAAAATCCAGAAGAAATAATATTACTACAGTTTGGAGCAAGCCTAGCACTATAGCAATGCCCAGATTTTTTTAATAGTTTTATTATCAGGAAAAAAAAAAATCACTCCAAAGTAGCCAAAATTTAATCATGTTAAAAACATTTTCATAGAGATTACGCAAAGTTTGCCCAGGGTAGGAGACTGAGGTTCATGATACCGGGATTTAATCCGTCACAGCTTTCCCGGAAAGTCTCCCTCAACACCCAATTTGTTAAAAATAACTTTACCTTAACTTGATCCAAGATTACCAGGGGACCGTTGACACCTGATACAGTTTTATATGCTGAAAGAAAGGAAAAAAGACAAAAAAAAACAAACACAGGTCAAGTACTTCCTCAGAAAAGAGGAGTTTTCCTACATGAAGTGACTGTTTTGAAGTTACACTCTTATTGCCAGTTTTAGGCTCAGACTTTCATCATTTCTGTGCTTGCTATGAACTCTACAAGAGGATAAAATACCGAACTGTGTTGCCAGCATTTTGGCTGCTATCTGGTAAGCACTTGCGATGACATGTGATATCTCACATGGCCAAGAAAGTGGTTATGGGTATTTGTATTCAACATACAGAGACTTTTCGTACACAAAGAGCTACAGCCAGTTTGTCTTAGAGGCATTATGCTTTTAAGCACCAGCAGCTCCCAAACATTAGCACTATACTGCAGATTCACTTAAATTTATTCAACGATGCCTGGGGAGAGAAGTGAACAAGAGGAGCCATTTACAGATCAGGAAAGAAACCAGGACCTTTTCTGGATCACGCCGCAAAGCTGAGGAAAGAGGTATTCCTGATGTTATCACAAATTGCACCAACATCAAGTTACAAGGTATCAGTTGGCTTAGATACTTCACAGTATGCCCAAGTTTGACAAGCATATAGTGTCAATGCTACAGTATTTAGACTGTCAACAATATGGTATTTACACTTCAGAAAATAGTTTTAAACCGCTGCAATATAATCTCTAGAAATGTCAAAATGCACTAACCAAAAACATACATGGCATTCAGTAAGAGTCACTGGCAGACATGGCTGGTGAGAGGTTGGAACTTCTCCGTTTCAAAGCTTATCAAAACCCTGCTGTAGAATACATGTTATAGACCCCTAAAACAGTCTAAAGGGGAAGCACAAACTTGTCTGCTCTCTTCACTTGTGCTGTGAGAATTAGATAAGACTTTAGGCCATACAGAGGATCCCAAGCATGTTTGCAGGCCACTGTCTAAAAGGAGTGGAAAGCCTCATTCTGAGCAACGCTCCATTTCATCCCGTGACTGTCTCATGAGCATTTCTTCCTCAATCAACAGCAAGGAGCTTCCTCCCAGATTTTTCCACATGAGGATAACTACATGTCCCTTGACAAGAGACAGCATTGACTCCTACTGCAAAGCCAGCCTGCCACTGGCTCAAAACCCCCATTTCCATTAACATCAACCAATTTTATGATAAATCAGAACCAAAATATACTTCCTCTCCCCTACAGAATTTAGGGAGCAATGGCAGTTTTGGAAAAAAATATATAGGTATAAATAGAAATGAGCAACCAGGGAGAGAAGCCAGCAGAAAACTGCAATAAATTTCTATAAGCAGTATCCATAGGAAGCAAGGGCTCAGGACCGTAGCAAGTCACATTGAGCTGCGTGAACATCTGCCTTGAAAATCTTAATGATTTAAATCACTTAAATCACATGATTTACGTGCATGGGTATGGTCAGTCATGTAACTGCTACCTAGATCAAAACGGCTAGAAAAATAAGAAAAAAAAAGCACTTTTAAACTACTTCAGCTTTCCTCTTACTGTGTTGGGAAAACCTGCTACAAAATTTCTCATTTCCCCTTTTTCATCAGATTTCCCAACACCATCTTAAAGGAACAAAAAGCACTGCCCCCCACCCCCCTCAACTCACAGTATTTTCCAGATCCTGCCAAAAAAGGGAAGTTTGTCACAAAGGACACCAAAAAGGGCTATTCTATCCAGCAGAAAAATAATATATATGTGTTAACATCTCCAAAACGTAACCAATATATGTTTTTATATAGAATAAGGCCGCTATACGGATTATCTGTGTATCTAGTGAAAATAACCCCCCTGAAGCGCGTGGGGCTTTGGGCACGCCGGCTGCAGAGGTTTCGGTTAATTTTCACACATTCCGCAGGGCGGTTTGACCCTGCTTTGGGGGGAGACATGCGGAAATCGGTGGAAAGCAGCAGGAGGCTGCGGCGGGAAGGGGGCGCGGGCCTCGCGGTTGGGCCTGGACAGCGGGGCAACACCCCCCGCAGCGCCCCGGGCCCTCGAGGCCGCCCCGGGCCCGGTCGTTCCCACCGGGAGCCTCCATCCCCGCGGCCTCAGGCCTCGCCGCCAGGCCCGGACCCCCGCCCGCCCGCCTTGGCGGAGCCGCCCGCTCCCCACGGGCACTCACTGAGACGCGGCTGGGAGAGGTAGTCGCGGGTGAGGGCGGCCGCCTGCTCGCGGGCGCCGCCGCCGCCGCCGCCGCCGCCGCCGCCGGGCCCGGCGCCGTTCACCAGGCCGCGCACCGCCCGCACCGCCGCCATCTTGCGCCGCCTCGCCGCCGCGGGGGCGCCGCGCGCACGCGCAGTTATAGGCGCCTCTCGCCCCGCCCCCTGCGCCGGCCCCGCGGGCGGGGGGAGCAGGGAGCTGTCCGCGGTGCTGAGCGCGGGGATTGGGGCAAAACGGGAGGAAAAGCGGAAAAACGCAGCGGAGCGCGGAGCAGAGCGGGGAACACGCCGCTCGAGACGTCCCGGAGATCTAGTGCTCCTCAGTACACCCGATATGTTCGCTGCACTACTCCAGCTTGGCCAGCAGGAACTCTTTCTCCTTTTTTTTTTCCTTTTTTTTTTCCTTTTTTTTTTTTTCCCCCAAAGTTGCTGGAAAAATGATATCACTGCAAACATCCATAATGGTTAAAAAAAATCACAGTGAACACGTACAAATGTTTCCATGGCAGGTCTGAGTGTGCTCTGACCTTGTGCAAAAAGAGGGGACAAAACCCTCTGGAGCTGTAAGGAGTCTATGTGCTGTCTATGGGGTTTGCATTGGGTTTATGGGGTGCTAGGCGCTTACAGGGGGCCCCAGGGGGTCTCTATGGAGTCCCAGGAGGTCTCAATGGGCCTCAGTAGGTTGCTAGGGGATTTCTAAGTGATGCTAGAGGGTTATATGAGGTCCTAGTGGGCTATAAGGGGTCATAAGGTGTCTCTATGGGGTCCTATGGAGAAATAGAGGGTACTTTGGGGTCTCCATTGAGTCTCTACAGGGCCTGTGGTGTCCTAGGGGATTATAGGAGGTCCTAGGGAGTCTCTATGGGGTCCCTATGGGGCACAGAAGGCCCTATGGGGACTCTGTGTGTTCTATGGGATCCTATGGGTCTCTAGGGTGTCTGTAGAGTCCCATGGGATCATAGGTGTTCTCTATTGGGTCTGTAGGGGCCCCTATGGGGTCTCTCTGGTGCCTATATGGTCCTAAGGGGTCTCTCTATGAGTGTCTATAGGGCCCTCTGGGGTTATTCGGGTCTCTATAGGGTCTTAAGTGTCTCTATCGAGACCTATGAGGTCTCTATGGGGAGCTACGGGTGCCCTAGGGAGGCTCTATTGGGCCTATGGAATCCTAGGGGCTGATAGGCATCCCAGGGGGTTCTATGGGGTGTTAGTAAGTCCTAGGGTCTCTCTATATGCTCCCTGAGGGGGAAGAGAAGGTCAGATGGGGGCTTTTTTCCGAGTTATATGCAATAACTACTAACGCCTTTTTAAAAGCATAAGGAAAACTCAGGAAAATCAAAGCCCAGTATATTAAATAGTTGAATTCTTGACATAGAAACCCCAAACCTGCCTAATTACTTTCAGCAGACAAGCTTTATAGATGCAAAAACCCAGCCGGAACAGTACAAACACTGTGTTGATCACTGTGTGATCAGTGACACAGGGAAAGAAAAGGAAGCACCACAAGGAACACCAGGTCCTCCCCTTCCCTTTATTACATATAGGCAGAAATGTGTTTTTCTCCCGTTTGCTTACAAAGGAAAGGAACACAGAGCTTCGAGTCACTTCACACAATTCCGGGCGCAGCTCGGCTGAACTCCCCTTCTCCGGCCAGAGCCTGCGCGCCCAACAGCTGTGGAGAAGCCCCAGCAAAACCCTCCCCTCTCCTCCGGGCTTCGGTGGGGTCCTCATCCATAAGGAGAGCCCAGGAATTGCAGCCCTAACCTGCTACTCGCCCACAGCGCTGTCCCCACCCACGTGGCCCGGGCAGCGGAGCGAGTGCCGAAGGGAATACATTCCGAGCAGGGAGAGGGGCGAAGTGCACGTTCCTCTCCCGAGGGAATTACTTGAGTCACGGTAGGTACCATTTGTGCTCTTCCATCTGCAAATAAAAAAGTGACCTGCAAAAGATGATGATTTCATCTTCCAATGAGTAAAGGCAGCACCTCAAAAACCTCTTCAGTTCCTGTGCTATTTTCCCCCTCCCATTAGAAACATTTACAGGGTTTTGTTTGGGGTTGTTTTTGGTAACCCACAATTTTGCAACATCGAGCTTAAAGGCAAGGTTAAGACTGCTGTATGAAACCATGTACCAACCCAAACAAGGCATCGCCTCTTCCCCCGTCCCAAAACACAACACGAGAGCTCCCAGCAGATCATCCCGCAGCTCCTCGCAAGTTCTGCAAACCGGGAAGATACAAAAATAGCAAACAGCTCAATTTTCAAGTAAGAGCAATCAGAAAATTGTTTTGCAGCGCCTGCCAGCCTCTGTCAGCGAGGGCAGCATAAGCATTTCCTTCCTTTGAAAATCTTTTGCAGGTCTCCCTTTTAAGGCCTTAAGTGTCATTACAGAAAGAGGAATTAGTTTTGTCTTGTGCTTGCAATTGCTGCCCCCTAGTGCAGCACCAAAATCTCCTACAATTTAACAGTTACAGTGTCTAGCTGTCCACGACCGTGCAAAGGGTCACACACAGGAAGGGGCTGAACTATCAACGGGTGTTTAAGCTTGTTGCAGGTAACTTATGTCAAGGACAGTACTTATGTGCCAAGTGTTTCCAACAACCACACACAGAGCCAAATGTTGAGCAACTGCAACACTGCCGCAACTCAGCTTCTCAACATCAGTCACAGCAAAAAAAAAAAAAAGAGAAAAACGAAAGAGAGAAGAACAACCAAGCACTGTTATAGACATCGAAGAGTTTATCTTCACTGGGTAGAGTAGTGAAAATTGCGTTCCCAGATGGAAGATTGGATGTTGCAGGTGACTTGGGGTAACAAGTCGAATGGAAACCAGTGCAAATGTTGGCAGAGATGACAAACATCAGCTGGGGCCAATTCCAGAGAGTGGATTGTCATGGCAGAAGATCCTGTTGCTTAGTAAAGTGATATCCACAAAGAAGAGGGGAGCACTACCCACCTCTCCCAAAGTTCAGTCATTAATTAAGGAACCTTAAGACAACTTCTCAAGCTGCAGCAACAGGGCAACTGTTGGGTCTTTAGAGATTCAGTCCCAGAGCTGTTTTGGGTTCACATGAAGCAGAGGGAGTCTTTTGTGCCAAGTCTATAACGAAAATTGCAACAAAATCAATCACATCCATGGTTAATGCACACAATTGCAGAGCTCCTGAGTATTTCACTATTTGACTGCATTCTCTTGAAAGCCCATGCTTCATATTTGATACACAATGCTAACTTTTCTTCTGCTCTGCAACTTGAGAAATGAGCTGCCCAAAGCAAAAGAATACGATGCGGACAGAGGCTTGAATAGCCATTAATAGAATTTTCAAAGGAAGATTTAATATCTTTACCCAAGACAGGGCTGCTGCAATCAGCATAGAGTTTAAGCCCATAAACTCTGGTCCTTCATGATTACTAAATAAAATCCGGTTTAGCACTATTTTAAGCAGAAATCACACTTATAAGAAACGACCTCTCCCCCAGAAGGTGAGACAGAAGATGCTGTATACTTCATACCAAAAGCCATGAAAACACTGGCAGATTTTATCAGTGTGTCCCATAAAATACCACAACCTCAACCTGGCTTTGCATATATTTTGTTAAACAAAATCAAAGCACTGGCTCTCTGCTGGAGGCTTCAGATTTCCCTGCAGACCATGGTAGGAAATGCAGGTACAGTTTCTAACGCAGAGGACAGCCCTCACGACTGAAGCCGGCAGAGAAGAGGCAATGCCACTGAGTACCTAGCAGGAATACACTGCAACTAGAAATGGGAAAGATTTCTGGTTCAGACTACATCTCTGATAGACATCTTCCATTTTATAAGGTTGTCAAGGAATCCTAATAGCAGCTAGCTGACATAGCCAGCAAAGAGCCATACCTCCATCGGAAAGCGAGAGCTTTTCCAATTCAGCTTCAAGCTCAGCATCGGAAACGGCAGGATCCAGTGGCTTCTGGGGAACGGGGGGCAGATCTACAGGCTCCTTAGCAGAGTCTTGGAGGAGACTATCCAGCTCTTTCTCAAGCTCCTCAGTGTCCATCTCTGCCAATGAAAGAAAACACTGAGCTACAAGCAGAAATAAGCAACATCTTCACAGCACATGATAAAGCAGCATAACAACCAGTGTCTTGAGTATTAAAGAGGTATGAACAGAGGTATTACCACCCATCACTCCCCGTACTCTCAAGAAGCAACTCCCTCTGCTTTCCCCGTAGACAGTCAGAGACCTATAAGGGATTTGGATGCGCAAATACCAATTGTCCTACAACCCACTCAGAGAGAAGAGAGCTCCCTGTCAATTCTCCCTCCTCCTCATGGCACTGGTAGCTACATCCCAGACTTTCAGCAGCTGCCTGTACTCCCAGGATGGAGGGGGAACAGCAGTAGCACGTGGGACAATATTTGGGGGAGAACAGAGAAGATGAACAAATCAGGAGATTTGTTCAAAAACATACCTAGACCATTGACGCCCACTCCAGCCAGTGTCTGAGCTACTTCATCTTGAGTGTCACAGAGCTGAGGGGAAATACATAAAACTTGACAAAGAATACCAGGTGTTATGATATTTCAGGTCAGGCCGTTTTAAGGCTCTGTTCTTGCACATTTAATTGCATTCCAGGTTCTAAAAGCCTGACTTGCATCTCTTCTTAAACCATCCTGCAATGCACTTGTTAACAAGAGAACTGTGCACTTGCACAAATATGGCCAACCGTGAGAACACAAAGCACATCAGTTTGGAGCACTAACCAGCAGTAAATGAAAATATGTAAAAGACAAATACAGCCAGTTATTTGAAGATTTCTGCTCACTTGCTTAAAAAGATCAAGTCAGTCTGCTCTGATGACATATGGAACAGAAACAGAACAGTGCCAGAAGCCTCAGTATTGGTATCTGGGCAAGTTTTCTATGTGTACCCACCCACTTCTTGCTCATTTATTTAGATGTCCTCTTATTTCAGTACCTCTTGTATCTGATCCACCAGGTTCTCCGCCTTCTCCACAGTTATATCCTTCATAGACAGCTTCAGAGCTCCCACACCAGCCTGATAAGCATTAAATACCTTTACAAAGGGGAGAGATGCATAATGCTGAATGAGTAAGAGCAAAGAGCAGGCAGTGTGAGCTTCTCTCCAGATCCATTATCCAAGCAGAGCCTTCAGAGCAGCACTAGTACAGGAGAAAAAGCAGTCTTACCAGCTTGCTTGCACCCCAGAGACATGAGCTCCCATAAGCAAAGTAAACAGCACAAATGAAGAGCGGAGTTAACGTGAAAAACACAAATTGAAATGAACACGCTACCATCTGGTCAGTCTGGGAGGCATAAATGCGATCCAGGATCCCTTGCACGGCATCCAGCTTGGAATGAAGCTCTTCAATGCGCCTTTCTGTCCTTCGTTTGGACTTCAAACATCTCAGCGCCTGCAGATATTAGATACAGAGGCTTGGATCACAAAGCAGCAGCAGAAGCAAAGGGAGAACATATTTTAAGAACTACAGTCCTTGTACAGCAAAGCTGGATTTAAGAGAGAGAGATTTCTCTTTCCATCACGACGCTTTGGATAAATATATTCTTATCACCACATGAAGGAGCTCTTTGGCTTCAGAAACCCTCTTGTATACCTCTAAGACAACAGTACCAAATGCTAGGCACTATCTGCAGCGATAAAGCAGTTCCAAGGTGCTTGACATGTTCTTTCCCAGCAGAACAGTACTTACCAATTGCTTTTTCCCAGCTCTACACGCACTGCGGGCATCCTCTTTACACCTGAACAGAGGCAACAAAGAAAAGGAGCTTATTCCTTTGCAACTCCCAGTTATTTACAAATCAGCTGCCATCCTCGCTACCTTGCTCTTATCTACAGGTGGTTGCATACCAATATATTTTCACACAGACATCCTTAAGGCGGTGTTTTATTTTCACAGGTAGACCTTGAATGCATTCCAAATCTTTCTGTAACTTCCATATCCACTCACTGCATGTTATTTTCACATGGATACAAAACAAGAACGGGAAAGCGTGTCCTACTCCACTGTGTAACTAGTGCATTTACTAAACAAGGAAGAATGACTGGCACTTAAAGAGGACAGCTTCATTCTTAACGATGTCACAGGAACATAAAGCTCTACATAGTGAAGAGGTTCTTCCCGCCACCCTTCCCCAAATTACTTCTCTGCTTCCTGGGCAAGGGACTCCACCTTCTGTGACAGCAGCTGCTCACTCTGCATCAACTGATACACGCCGATGTCCACATCGTTCATTGGGGAGACTTTGGCATGAAGACCTCGGGCAAACTTCACTATCTAAAGAAAGAGAACCACACTTCTGAGTCGCTTCTCTCCAGAATTTGTGCTTGCACTAACGGAAAGAAAAGAAGCTTTTGCTCTAACAGAACACCCTGAGGACACAAAGCCGTCCCAGTGCTTTCACAGATACTACCAGTTTTGACCCCAACTCCACGGCTATGCTATGCCATGAGCAGTATACAGCAGTGTCTCACTTTCAGGAACTTCCGCGGTGTGCAGCGCAGAACAGTCAGGGCAAACAAGCCACTTGAGAGACCACAGAGCCTGCATTCACTAGAGTCACTGACAAACAGGAAAGCCTTTTCTCAGGAGGTGGAGCACCTTTTCTCAGGAGGTGGAGCAATTGCACATTTGGTAGCTTAGGAGAACTTCATTTTCTGCAGGTTTGCAAGTCCCTAGCAGCTTCTCTACAAGTCCAGAATCCTAAAATGTGGTGCAGCATTCCCAAAAATATTTGGCCTGCAAGTATAAAGGCAGGATGCTTGGTAGCTCTCAAATTACACAGCTCATGTTACAAATGCTTGAAGGGGAAAACAGGAACCCCTCCTGGAAGGAGCACTTAGTCTCACTTATAACAAGGTCACAATGTTGAAGGACACATAATTGACTTTTCTGAAGAAAACCAAACACTTAACCAATAGCGAGTACTTTTTCAGCTAATAAGGGAATTCAAGACAGGGATTATACCACCCCAAAACAGTCACCTTTACCCTGTACCTTCTCTCCATTCTGTTCCAGGATCGTGACCCTCTTTTCCTTCTGCAGCTGGAGCAGTAACAAATAGAAGGTCCTTTCATCTGGACAAACGTTGGCACAGAGGGACCGCAGCTCCGAGAGGGCAACAACAGGGTGAGAAGAGAGCGCAGAGTTCTGGTATAAGCGATAAACTTCCTCTGCCTTTTCCTGAAAGGAAGCAAAAAAACCATCCGTTAGTTGATTCATGACTATTTCTTTCCCTGCAAGGTTTGCCAAGGCCTCTTCTACTTCCTCCCACACGCCTAAAGGCGGAAAATTAGAGGTGTCGCATTTAGGGGGGGCAAAAACTTTCAAAGTAAGTTGGTTGTGAAATTCAGAAGGTGGTAAGTATTCATAACTCTGAAAAAAATATCACCATTAACGGAATGCAAAACACTATGGCTTTCCTCTGCAACCAGAAGTACATCCTCATGTTCCCTGTGTAAATGCCACAAAAACACAAGCACTACAGAGTCAGCAAATTAGACACTGCTGCGTTTCTTGCTTTCCCATCGATTTAAGTCCAGCATAAGCTTGTCTTTAATAAACGCTCCAGGTATCCAGAGTAATTTTACACCATTTATCTTTGGGCAGAGAAAAAAACAAAACAACAATTTTCTTATTTCAAGTGAGGCTCTTGTAACCGGAGTTAGAGTCCACTTAAAGACTAAAGAAACAACTTTTCCTGCTTCCATCCACCTCCAAATTCCTCATCAAGCTTTTGATGTTAACTACACGACTCCTGAAAGGACCACAGAGCTACTGATGAGGAAAACCACTGTGTGCTGTCAGAGCAACTCCAGCAAGAGCAACACATCTAAGGAGTTCTTTCATGTCCCCAAATCCCCGTCAGTTAGAGGCCACTTGCACACAAGAGCAATGAGCCTTGATGCTGTTTTTCAACAGCGAAACTTCAGGGTTTCGTTTTCTTCTTTTTTTTTGAGGAAGTGACACAAGGTCTCGAGCACAGCATGTCCCCAAGTGAAAGCCGCCTTTACTGAGACACCTGCAAGTTCAGAGACACAGCACCGGCCCGAGAGCCAGTGACACGCGGGGCGCTTGCTTCTCAGGTGGCAATCAAGCTGCAGGTTTCTCTGGCAAGCTGAGCTTCCTCCTGCTTAAGCCTGGGATGTACAGGGGTCTCTGAGCACACGATGGGGCTTCCTGGAGAGCACAGCAAGCTTGTCAGCTGTTTCTTCCGGAAAAGTCATTACATTACATTAATTTCAATGTCTATTTTTAGCCACAGGTTATTACTCTCCCCATCTCTCGAAACACTTAAGAAGTAGAGATAAAGGGTGTTTTTTGTATTCAGCCCTGCCTTTTCACTGCTATACATAACATCACTCCCTGCTTTAAGATGTGCTCTGGAAAACACTCACCTGCAGCAGCTCCACAAAAATCAGAACCTCCTCCTCCTCGGGGGCCTTGCTGTCACCCAGCACGCTGGACAGCGTCCACTTGAGGGGCTTCAGAATAAACACCCCCACGCCCCACGAGATCCAGCTGCTGTCCACGCTGGCCATGAAGTCGGCCTCCCTCTGCATCTTGCCACGTCTGCGGGAGAGAGGTTCACACGTTACGGCAGCGGGCACGGCCAAACGCAAACCCTTACAGGAAAAGGGCCCAAGAGCAGCAGCGAGAGCGCCGGGGGGGACAAGGCCCACGCGAAGCTTTGTCCTGCGGGCAGCCCTGCTCGTGCCCAGCTAGCGGCACACACGTGCGGGCCGCCCGGCGCCCGGCGCAGCTCTCCTCCCCACCCGCGCTCCCTCCCAACCTCAGGGATTTGCTCCGCAGCTTTCCCAGCTCCTCCTGCACGGCATGGATGGGGAAAGTGGCTTTTGGGGTAGTAAAGGCTCCTCGCTCTCCTGCGTCACCGGCTCTGACCATGCGCCCGCATGTCCCCCCCCATCCCATCTATCCCGCGTGTCGGATTATCCCGTTTATCCCACACGGCCCCCCTCCCATCCCGTTTATCCCGCGTCCCGCCAGCTCATCCCGTTTATCCCGTATACCCCGTTATCCCACGTCCCCGCCATCCCATTTATCCCGTGCGTCCCGTTATCCCGTGCACCCCCATCATCCCGTTATCCCGCAGCCAGCAGGCCCCTTCCCGCCTCCCTCTCGCCCCCCCGGGCCCT